CTTGGCTTCGAACATTCCTCTTATCCTAATCATGTTTGTCTTCTTCAAAAATCTCTTTATGGTCTTAAACAAGCACCACGTGCCTGGTTCCAACGCTTTTCTACTTATGCTCAAACCATCGGTTTTACCCCTTCCCGTTCTGACACTTCACTCGTCACCTTTCATAACAACAACAACAACACTGCTTACCTTATTTTATATGTTGATGATACTATCCTCACAGCTTCCTCACAACAATTTTTAGATCATATTATCTCTCTTCTTCGCCATGAATTCTCTATGATAGATTTAGGTCTTCTTCACCACTTTTTAGGTATTGTTGTTATCTGTGACTCCTCTGGTCTTTTCTTGTCTCAATGTCAGTACACTCTGGATCTTCTTTCTCGTCCTGGTATGCTTGATTGTCAAACTTCCCGTACCCCTATTGATACAGGTTCCAAACTCTCTGCCGATGGTGATCCTTTCTCTGATCCTTATCTTTATCGTAGTCTTACCGGTGCACTTCAGTATCTCACTCTCACTCGTCCTGAAATTTCTTTTGCAGTCCAACAAGCTTGTTTATACATGCATGATCCTCGTATTCCACACTACAATCATGTCAAACGTATTCTTCGGTATCTAAAAGGCACACTAGACTTAGGTCTTCATATCAACAAATCCTCTCCCACCTCCTTGATAGCTTACTCTGATGCAGACTGGCTGGTTGTCCAGATACTCATAGGTCCACATCCGGATTTTGTATTAAGCTTGGTAACAATTTGGTTTATTGGTCTTCGAAAAGGCAGGTTACGGTCTCCCACTCGTCTGCTGAAGCTGAGTACCGCATTGTGGCTCATGCGGTCGCTAATACGGTTTGGTTGCGCCAGTTGCTGTCGAAGCTGCACCGTCCTATTGAGCAAGCTACCACTGTTTACTGTGATAATATTTCAGCTGTCTACATGTCAGGGAATCCGATTCGACATCGTCGCACCAAGCATATTGAGATTGACATTCATTTTTTCGAGAGAAGGTGGCTCTCGGTCAAGTTCGTGTTCTCCACGTGCCTACTTCTGCTCTATTTGCTGATATCTTTACTAAAGGTCTGGCGACTACTCCGTTTCAAGACAATCGTTTCAGTCTCAACATCGTCGAGCCTATCGTTGACACTGCGGGGGGATGTTAGAATACAACTTGTATTAGGATTATGACTCCTACTTGGTTTGTAATAAGGCTAGGTCAGGTGCGGCTTGGCTCATATATATACTTCTTGTACCGGCACAATATTGTATCAACAATTATTCAATATAATTCTACATTTGCGATACAATTAACTTCTCAATGCACAAGGCATATATCTCCTGGAAGATCTTACGGAAAGGTGTCTCTAAGCACATAGTCCCAAAAATATACGAGGTTACTAGAACATAAACCCAAGTTTCTACCATGAAAGTAGGTAGGTTTGAACTGCAAAGTGGTTTTCAATCCGAGAATCAAATGCTCTCTTACTCACGTTAGCTACACAAGGGAGGCATATTGCACGCACTAGACCCTTGGAGATGTACCAGGTGCACTAGACCACCCAATTTTTTTATTACGAATAGCAGTTCATCTTTCGATAAAAGAAAAGGCAGTCAATCTTCTCCTCGAAAAAAATTTGCTCCCTCATATGGATATTTTAGTAGAACATGATAAATCTTCTTCTACTACAAAAAAAATACATAATTCATTTCATTCACATATACAGGACGCAACAGAGATACATCATCATCGATGCAAAAAAAGAGAAAAAGATACATCTTAACCACATGTCCACATTCTAAGATGGCTTGTATACATCCTATTTTTTCGAAAAGGGGGGGCTCCCCGGCCTCTGCATCAGAGTGATGCATACGGCCATCTTATTAACCAAATAACAAAATGTGCCAACAAGGTTCCAAAGTCTCCAACTGAAACAAAGAAAAGGCAGCTCACACAGAGCCTAAAAGGCTAGATACAAAAACTAGCCAGGAAAAGACGCCACAACCGGCTGGCTAAAAATAGATAGGTAAACTAATTGTCTATCCTATTACATGACCGCCATCCAAACCGGCTGAAGATATCCCGAGCTACCATCTCCCTACGGATAGATCTAGTAACCAAATGCTCCCTGGCCTCCATCGGAGTGAGTAGCGACCACGAACGGATCACTGCCGTAGCTCGGAAAATAGCCTGCAAAAAATGAATCCGTGATTTTCTGTTAAAAACCAAATCATTTCTGCAATTCCAGATAGTCCACAGCAAAGCGCAAACTCCAACCCAAATATGTCTTGCTAAGTCAGGCTCAATCCCATTAAGCCAAGTCCCAAATAATGCGTTGACAGAAGTCGGTGGAGTAATATTAAAAGCAATGTGGACCGTTCGCCAAAGGACTTTGGCCAACGGGCAATCAAAAAAGAGGTGCTTAATCGTCTCATCCCGATCACAGAAACTACACCTAGTAGGTCCTGTCCAATTACGCTTTATCAAGTTGTCCTTTGTTAAAATAACTTGTTTATGGACAAACCACATAAACACTTTTATTTTCAAAGGAACTTTGACATCCCAGACATTCTTGGAAGTTGGAATGGAGTTCGAATTAATAACATCAATATACATTGATTTAACTGTAAATACTCCAGACCTAGTCAACTTCCAGCGTAATTCATCGGGTTGGTCAGAAAGTTGAACCTCCATCAGTCTCCTAACTAGATGGAGCCATTCTTCCCAACGATTGCCCGCTAGCGATCGTCTAAACTTAATATTAAGGGGGGTAGATTGAAATACCGTTGCAACGAACACCTCACGTCGTTGAGCAATACGATATAAAGACGGATATTGAATGGCCAAGGGTGAGTTGCCAAGCCAAGTATCCTCACAGAAACGTGTACTAGCACCGTTTCCAATAACAAACCTCGTCCTATTGAACATTGATTGTTTGAATTTCATTAGTCCTTTCTAGAAAGGTGAGTCAGTCGGCCTGACTGTGATCTGGGACAATGTTTTAGTCTGGAGGTACTTGCTACGAAGGATCTGCGCCCACATGGCCTCAGTCCTGGAAGAGAGCTTCCACAACCACTTACTAAGAGGGCATCTGTTCTTAACTTCAAGATTCTCAATACCAAGACGCCCTTGGTCTTTCAGTCGACAGATGATATCCCATTTAGCAAGCCGGTATTTTCTTTTAAGTTCATCACCCTGTCAAAAGAAACGCGATCGATAGAAGTCCAGTCTTTTCCTAACACCAATTGGGACCTCAAAGAACGATAAGAGGAACATAGGCATACTCGTGAGCACCAAATTTATCAAGATTAACCGGCCTCCGTATGACATGAGCTTACCCATCCAGCAACTCAATTTCTTCTCAAATCGGTCCTCGATGCACTTCCATTCTATGTTTGTCAGCCTACGATGGTGTATCGGAATACCAAGGTAGGAGAAGAGTAAATTCCCCAACTCGCACCCAAACAATTGCCTATAAGACTCCTGTTCGTCTTTGGCTCTACCAAAACAGAACAACTCGCTCTTATGAAAGTTAATCTTTAACCCGGTCAATTGTTCAAAGAGGCATAACATCAGCTTCATATTTCTCGCCTTGGCCAAGTCATGCTCCATAAAGATGATTGTATCATCAGCGTATTGAAGGATGGATACACCTCCATCAACAAGATGAGGTACCAAGCCACCCACTTGACCATTCTCCTTAGCCCTTCCTATCAAAATTGCTAACATATCCACCACAATGTTAAACAGGATAGAGGACATCGGATCTCCTTATCTGAGGCCTTTATGTGTCTGGAAGTAATGACCTATATCGTCATTCACTTTAATTCCCACACTCCCTTTTTGCGTAAATGATTCGACCTGTCGGCGCCAGGCGTCATCAAAACCTTTCATACGCAATGCCTGTTGGAGGAATGGCCACTTGACCTTATCGTACGCTTTTTCAAAATCCACCTTAAAAATTACTCCATATAATTTTTTGGAGTGGATTTCATGGAGCGTTTCATGAAGGACAACCACCCCTTCAAGGATGTTTCTGTCCGGCATGAAAGCAGTTTGGGATTGTTGCATCACAGAATGCGCAATCTGTGTGAGCCTATTAGTCCCGACCTTGGTGAAAATTTTGAAACTAACATTGAGGAGGCAGATCGGCCTGAACTGCTCAATTCTCACAGCATCCATCTTTTTAGGGAGCAATGTGATAGTTCCAAAATTCAAGTGAAATAATTGAAGTTGTCCAGAGAATAGATCATGAAACATAGGTAGCAAATCCCCCTTAATAATGTTCCAGCACTTTTTATAGAACTCGACTGGGAACCCATCCGGTCCGGGAGCCTTATTGTTTTTCATTTGTGCAATAGCATCAAACACCTCCTTCTCTGAGAACGGGGCAACCAGGATATCATTATCGGCAGCAGACAATTGAGGCACATCCTCAGTCCTGGACTCATCGAGGGACACACAATTATCCTCCGGAGGTCCAAATAACTGCCTATAATACTCGGTAATATATGTTTTGAGATTATCCTGTCCTAAAATAGTGCCCTCATCTTGTTCAAGTTGAAAGATCCGCTTCTTTCTGTGCTTACCATTGGCAATCAGGTGAAAGTATTGAGTATTCGCGTCCCCTTGGACCACTTTGCGGACCTTAGCTCGCAAAGCCCACTTCAACTCTTCTTCGCGGAGAAGTTCTTTCAACCTCTTCTCCGCCTCAGTTTTAACCTGGAGCTCAGCAGGCAGCAAAATCGTGGATTTAAACATCCTATGGCAGCCGTGCATGTTGTTCAACTTTACATTTGCGCTTAATGTAAAAGAAAATACCAGGTGTACATTTCCACTTGCTTGGAGCCTTGGAGTAAAATAGACAGATTAATCTAATTTACAACGCTGTGTGTGTATACTCTCTCTCCCCTCTCTTTCTACATTGTATAGGAGCAGACATATTACACAACTAACTCCTGGGGCAGAGAACTCAGATCGTAAGCAATGTATACCTATGTACGTTACACATGTTGCCGACACACAGGGCATGATCCGTGGCTAATGAGCCATTTGTCCACGCAGAGCTGATGAAAAGCATGGGAGCAAGTGGGCAACCTTCTCGCCGTCTCACCGGCTACCATATCCTACAAGATCAAGAATCATACTATTAAGATCAGGAATCACACTATTCAGATGGAAAAGGAAAGATAATGATGGAAAACGACATAAAGCAAATACCAACCGCATTGCATTTAGTAGCGGGCAAAAATTGGTATGAAATCCGATAATGACAATTGCTTTTAAAAATCTAACGAGGACATAAACGGAGTGGTTGTTGCACCTCTCTGCATTCATTGCCCAATCATAGTATTGCAGTTTAATGTCACAGTGAAGAAAACGGTTTGGTCCTAGGTGAGTTTTCAAAGTACTAGGTGAATTTTGTTACAGAAGACTCGATGAACTTTAGTCTTTAGCACAAAGTTTCATCTTAGATTTAGTACCAGATAAATCATCACTGACAACCAGCTGGAAAATAGTAGCAACCCCCTAGTGGTCGACTGGTAGGTACTCTGCTATGGATCTCCAGCACACTGATCAACATACAACCACCTAGTGGTAAAGTACCAAGTACTCAGCTATGGAGTCTCAAGATAGTGATCTATCTAACAACCATTTATGACATAATGGTACATAGCTTAATTTTCACTCCCTTTTATGAAACTATGGGAGCCACATTAACTTCAACATAATCTTGTTTTCCGACTGCTTGTGTTTTAGGTTCTTCTGTGAAAATTATGAACTGGTTTGTTCCCCGTTTCCTTAGGAAAAAATATTTGCCTTAGACAAAATGAAGGGCAAACTGAGAGGTTCTTATGATAATTGTACCTGTAGACAGATGGCGCAAGACATGTTTTCACCCGATTTGCCCTGAGCCTCAGCCTGAACCTGATCAGCTACCACGTAGTGTGGTAATTTCTCCAGTGCCTCCCTCGAAAGCCCCCTCGATGAAATGTCCCCGAAGATGTCGTACACATCATCGTGCCCAAAATCCGGTATGCTGAGCTGTTTGATGAAGGAAAAAACCAAATCTAAAATTCAGTACAGATGCAGGAACAACGCACGACGGGACCGCCATTGATTGTCTGAATCCAACACCGCCCTTTTTGCAGTGCTGGCCATTCAATCTGATTTAATTCCTTCACCAAATGCACCACACTCGACAAGCAACACTCATGTATACATCGCCATCGGTTCGGTGCCATTTCGCTCTCCGTTCTGTGGCAAACGTTGTCGTGGACGATAAGGTTGATAATACTGAAACTGACCTGCCAACGGTACGCCATATGTGCCGAGGATCCAAGCTGCTGTTGCACAAACCGGGCATGAAGGAGCTGCTCTATGAAATCTGCCTGAATAAATGAATTCATGAACTTTCTTAGAGGCGTGTTGATCTAGCAAATAATGATACCTAGTACAGTTAAGGAAAATATGTGGTTGAGCTCGGGTGTAGGTACACCCACACTATTTTGAACACTACGTTATGGCACTCAAAAATTAGTAGCAAAATATGGCAGAAAAATAATCGGAGGAAAACCCGACCGTATGTGGTGCATCCAAAAAGAACAAGGGGTAGCAGATATGTATCGATATAAAAATTACATAATTGGCCAATTTTTCTACCAAATGGCACAACACGTGAACATAAAACTTCAAATCTGTAATGCTTGGCATTTTAAAAATAAAGATCACACTAAGCAGCAGAACGACCTACCGATAGACAATTGGGATTGTGGCATAAGGCATTCAGGCCCAACAAGCAGAGAACAGAGTACATGCATACACAGGATCACCGGATACCATCTTGGGCAAACATTATGGAGCTAATTGCCACAACAAATAATCTGAAATTCTGATCTGATAGCATCAAGGGGGTGGATGAAGCTTAATGTTACTGACCATGGAGCATGTGCCGAGCCGGTCCGAGCACCAGTACGCGCGAGACGCCTCGAGAACCTCGATGGAGAGGACGGCCCCGGCGATCGCTCCCAGTCCAGCTCCCCGGAGAACGCCGCTGTCGGAGGCCCTGCCCGCCAGCGCGCCGGTGACGGCTCCAGTCAATGCTCCAGCTTAATAACACACCACAGAGCATGCACCAATCAGAATTCAGAACACATGCTCGGGACCATGACGGAGTGTGCCCAACAAGAACGGCCGGGCCGGCGAGAGTACGCGAGAGAGGAGGAGGAGCCAGCAATCAATTACCGAGAGCGAAGAGGCCGGTGAGCGCGCCGGAGATGACGCCGGCGATCAGCCTGGGGAGGTACACGGTGTCCACGCCGCGCTCCTCCAGCCACTCGCCCGCGGGCGCCGGCTCTCCCGCCGCGGCAACCTCCATGGACCGCCTCCGCGAGGATCAGGCGGAGAGGTAGTACGGGTTTATTTTTGGCGCCTCGCGGCTCGTTGGAGTGGGCGGCGAGAGGCTCTCCGGGAGAGGAGGGCTGGCCGGGAGGCTAGAGGATATCGGCAGCGAAAGGCTCCAGCTTTAGCAGCTTGGGCGAGGGGCTTCCCGTGATGAAGTGATACTGCTCGGGATGAGCCGCTTTTGCGACGTCCATGGTCTCGCTTTCCTGTGCTTTCTGTTCCTCTCTGTGTTGGTAGAGGCCTCTTTTCGGGGCAGAATTTAGGCACACTCCAAGCAACACATCTCGTGCCAGCTCTTCTTCTTACTTTACTTCACCTCGTGTGAGTATTTTCTTTTTTCTATCTTTCATGTGTTCAAATTGGAGCCCACGTCATGTGATGATTGGAGCGGATGGAATGTCCTGACCATTTCCAACTTTCCATTCCCTGTGTTGCCATGAAAAAGACTCAGGTCTCTTTGATTTAGGGTCCCGATAACTGCCACACGTGTGGTGTATCGGGTGGTTGTGCCGCACGCCTTGTGTGGCATGGACAGAAACCCGCTCGCACGATCGTGTCCGGGCGCGCAAAGGCACAGCCTGCACGTCCGGTGTGTGGCAAACCCGCGCGCACGTTCGGGCCAGACGACCCCGCAGCCCGCACGACCCAGCCGTCCCGGCCTCCGATCGATCTCCAGTCCCGACTGCCGCCATCGTCTCCCACCTCTCGCACCCCTACCTCCATCGCCGGCCTTCTCTGGTTGCCATGGCAACCAGAGCAGATCCTTAGGGCCCTCCCACCGCAAGCCACACACCAACCCTCCCCCACCCCCCGCCCCCCACTCCAACCCCGCCCTCCAGAGACGACCAGCTAAAAGCAGGTGAATCTCCCGATCTCCTACTGCTTCTCATCCTTCTTCTGGGCAGAAAATTGCAAATTTACCGACAAAGGTGGCGACTGGATCCACGCTATAGGGGTAAAACACTACATGGTTTTGTGTGTCTTCGCATTTGCCAAGCAGAATACACTAGATCTGCCATGAACTACGCTAGAGATAAGCTTAAGTTCTCAGTTCGCTTGATGCAAGTAGTTGATAATGAATGGATGCGTAGGAATCCCTAAAAAAAGGAGAGAAATGAGAAATTTGGAATAAAGGGGGTGGGAAAATTAATTGCCACTTGTGTCTAACGTCAGTTGCCACCTATCATTGTCGTTAACTGCCACCATGTTAACCTGTTGCTTGCCATCCTATTGTAGTGGCTGTTGCCATCGAATCGAACAGATAGCTTGCACCCACATTTTAGAAAAGAGAGTAGATGTGCATGTCCTACTTGCCATGATGTGTTGGTTGCCTACGCATGAAAATGTGATAACATTGATGTGTTATCTTCTACGTGCAAGCAGCAAAAGAATACATTTTTTGTGGAGTGTTGATGCGTTCTTGTTCATGCAGTGATTGAGGACACATTGGCAGAAACGAGACGCGGAAAGAATGAATCATGAAGATGGCGCTGATCCTTGGGGTTCTCAAAGGCCAGAAACGCCGCCTTGGGATGCAGCAGGGTACAGTCAACTCATTTCTGCAGGGTCGTCGCTGCCACTACTAGAACAGTACGCAGGCATTGGTATGATGCATGATAACAAAGAAAAGAACATTTGCCATGTTCTCGACGATGAAGATGACATTCTACTTATGTCCTACACTGTCATTTTTCGCAGGTTCTTATGACCAAAACACACTCAGGGGGGCACCATGGCAAGTTCAGTCACAGGGCGCTAACACTGACAAATGTACGGCAGACAACTTCAACTATCTAATGTGGCAAATTAAGGTAATGCATACGAAAAAGAAACATACTGGTGTGGACATGAAAAATAAACTTGCAAAGGATGGCAAAAGACTCACGAGTTATGTCGGAAAAAATGCAGAACCTTCGTGCAGCACATGGCATCAGGCGGCACCCATGTACCTGCCATCGACGTCATACACAGGTGAGTCCATAAAAAGTGAAGTTACGGACGGTGAATTAGCAGAAGAAGCATAGTTGACAACTGCAGTTGCCATGACTGGACAACTGCAATTGCCATGACTAAACAACTGCAGTTGCCATCCCTAGACAACTGTAGTTGCCATGACTGAACAACTGCAGTTGCCATGCCCGGACAATTACAGTTGCCATTGCCTGGACAACTGCAATTGTCATGCCTAGACAACTGTAGTTGCCATGCCAGGACAAACTGCAGTTGCCATGCATTGACCAACTACTACCATGCTTACAGGTTATTACGGTAGTGCTATCCCGGCAAACGTCTCATGGCAAGCTTCACAGATTGCAGATAGAGCACGTTAATTTGGTGTGACAGACCACACAAGATGGGCAAATGCAGCACAACAAGGTAAGGAAATTTGAACCACAAAAGAGCACTGCATTTGTTTTTGTGGGAATAGCATGTGAGGAAAAGAAGATTTGTAGCAGTGATGGTGGGAAAAAACAAACATAAAACGCTAACAAGTGGCTGTGTGCAATGAGTCATATATTGTCTTCGGGATTTGCCAATTGCTAACAGCATGTGTGCAGCACTAATGGTTGATCGCATTTGCCTAATGAGCTCAAGCCTAGAATACAAAGTTTTGATGCTAGAACACACTGGTTGCCATGTATTGGCAGCAGTATTTGCCATGTATGTAGGACTGCAGTTGCCATGCATATAAAATCCAAGTCTTCATACTGAAAGAAGCTGGTTGCCATGCATTAGCAACAGATAGTTGCCATGTTTGTTGGACTGTAGCTGCCATGACTGGACAACTACAGCTGCCATGCATGTCCACATGCAGACTCACGGCTTGCTATTTGAATGATGTCATGCCAAATCACTTGAAGTTGATGTGCTCCGTTACAATAAACATGTTATTGAAGCAAAATCTTATGCTCGTACCTGTTTTTTCTATTACAGGGCCTACAACCATAGTGAACAGCGGCGCGGGGACATCTACTGCGGGGAGCTCTGAGCGCACGGAAGACGCGTTCCACCAGCCAGCCAACAATCATGCCGCAAACATTGCCAAGTCAGAGTCGGAAATGGCAATCATTCCAGCAATGCCAACAAGCACCCCTTTGAACACAAGCACTCGCAACACTCAAGTAGATGAAACTGCCGCCGATACTGAAGTGAATGATGAAACTGATGAAGAAGCACAAGGGGATCAAGATGGTGGGCAATCAGAGATCGTGGTACCTCAGCCACCGTACGTTGGGCAGAGATTTGAATCATTCGCATAAGCAAAGGAATTTGACCAGACATATGCAAAGTTCCATGGGTTTGCGGTCAACACCGAATACCATAGGAAAATTAAGAAAACTAACGAGTACAGCAGAGGTGAGATGAGGTGCCACAAGGCACGAAGGAACAAGAAGGGGAAATGTGTTGCGCCTGTCGTTCCGGAATGAAAGAGAGGTATCATTCTCAAGACGGAATGCCATGTCCGGTGTAAGCTAAACGTAGATGGAGCACAGTGGGTGGTCACTGAATATTTTGATGAGCACAACCACAAACTCATAAAGAAGTTTGACCTGGTAAAATTTCTGACCGTCCACAGAGGATTCACCCCCCTCGAGAAGAAATTCATAAAGCTGCTACATGATTGTAACGTCGGTCCATCAAGAATGGTCCAGATACTATCACTCATCCACAGCAAAAAAAAGGACTCCGAGTAGCATGCCCTACATACCAGCTGACGTCACAAACCTAAATGCAAAGTACCGTAGAGAGAGCAAGTTGGCTGACATAGAGGCCACAATGGCCTACTTCGATGAGAAAGCGAAGGAAGATCTAAATTTCTTCTATAGGATAAGGTTGGACGATGAGGACCGTGTCAGGAACATGTATTGGGTGGATGGTGCTGCAAGAAGAGCCTACAAACATTTCCGAGATTGCATTTCATTCGACGCGACATATCTCACTAATATGTACAAGATGACATGCGCTCCATTCATAGGAATAAATAACCACAATCAGTCGTTGCAGTTCGGATGCGGGCTCGTTCAGGACGAAGACACGGATGGGTACATTTGGCTGTTCAAGACCTTCTTGGAGTGCATGGATGGACTTGCTCCGATGAACATAATAACAGACCAAGATTTTAGCATGCGTGTAGGCATAGAAGAGGTCTTTCCGTTGGCAGTGCACAGGCACTGCATGTGGCACATTATAAAGAAGGCTAAGGAGACGCTAGGACCGTTCTTTGCTGACCGTCCAGAGCTGCACAAGGTATTCGAGCTGTGCATGGACCACAGCTTGACGGTGGAGGAGTTTGAAAGGAGCTGGATGGCCATGATTGAAACATATCAAGTCCAAGACAACGAGACTCTTGCTAGCCTGTGGGAGAAGCGAATGTATTGGGTGCCGGCCTACTTCATGCAGTGCTTCTTCCCGTTTCTGCAGACTATGCAGTGCAGCGAGGGGTTCAATGCTGTTTTGAAGCGGTACGTGAGCCCCGGCAACTCATTGCTACAGTTTGCCAAGCAGTACACAGATTTGCAACAAAAAATACTGGGATTTGAGCTACAGCAAGAAGCGAACACCGCGCTAAAGCAACCAAAATTGCTAACATATTTACCGATGGAGAGGCAAATGAGCAAGATATACACCAACAAGATTTTTAACAAGTAAGTCAGTTGCGTTGCAATCTTATTTGCACAAGCATGAAGGCAGTAGGTGCCATATAGAATGCAATGCAGTTGCCATGATATGTGGATGCCATGTTTAATGAATTACTGTTTGCCATGTTTACTCAACTGCAGTTGCCATGTTTAATGAACTACTATTTGCCATGCTTTCTCAGTTATAGTTGCCATGTTCAATGAAATGCAGTTGCCATGTTTAATGCACTGTACTTCCCATTAGGCATGTTGGTATGCAAATGCCAATGCCAATTGAAAATGTTATGTAGTTGCCATATTTAATGAACTGCATTTGCCATGTTTACTGAAATTC